ACCTTCAGAGCTAACGTAACTTGCGAGATACGTATGGCATTCCACAATTATTAGTGTCACTTCTCGGATTATTAGGAGCATTTTCAAGGACTGTTATTCTTGCGGCATAGCTGACTTTGTGGGCGTGAAGCGCATGCGTTTCCTGCACCTTTTACGGAAATGAGCACAATTTAGTCCGCATATTCCAGTTCACCAAGCTTCTCGCTCTGAGGGGTTTGAACTGCGGGAGGTTGGAGACCTTCCATTGTTCGCCTCATTGCCTTATTAGTGACGAATTTTTAAAAAAGTGAGAGAACGCACATCGTTTTCGGACACCATTGCTTGGGATAAAGCTTGTAGACAGCTACCCACATATAGCAAGATATTCACAAACTTCTGTGGCATGCACTATTGCAAAATTGTATTGAAAAGAACGAAACTGTCAGCAGAATCGGGCGTACTCATATAATCGGGGAGCACCAAGAGTGTAGAGTGTCTACATGCATGCCGTAAAAATTGATGAAGTGTGAATATGTGGTCCATGCAGGCCCTTTCAAGCCGGAATCTTGTCTGCTGTTACTGGGTCCCTTCTTAACCCGGCTTCGTGAGATGGCGTAAAATGAAATATGCAAAGTGTCTTGTTACAGCCGAGGGTCAGGCCAATGCCCCCGTCATCCTGCGAGTAGCCCTTTTGACAAATGGGCACCACCAGTGACTCAGTAACATCAGACAAACACGCAAATCGAAACACGTATTTCAGAACAGGTAACAATCGTTAATTGACCCATGCCGCCTATAGCAAATGGCGATGTGGTCTACTTGTGTTTGAGGCTGGCTCGCATTCGGAGAAGTGGCGCTATGTGGTTTAGTGACTTCGGTTTTTTAGGAAGTTGGTACCGCATAGAAACAGTCTGCAATCACCATAAAACTACTGCAGGCATTTGTCGTTACCCGTGCATCACAATTACAATCCTAGACAACGATCTGATTTGGCCTCAGTAGCGTCAAGTCTAGTTACTTGTTCATTCGTACCCCAAGCAACAATAGCTGAGCTCTTATCACGCCATAACAACGCACTCAAAGCGTTGTAGTAACTGCCTTTAAGATAGAACCATGGTTCGTTGTGATGTAAGTAGGTATGGCAAACCGACAGCAATTATCGGCGCGTTTAGGGGATACTCTCATAGACGTTGCCAAACGAACGGCCCACGGGTGACTATCAACGGGCAGTCGCTCAAGCACAGAATTACCTCGGTGGTTTAAAACAACCCAAACAGAACGAGCCATAGTAACTTGTGGATCGACAAGGTTGCGCAATCAGAAGCGATCAGAAATCGATGTTCAGGTCAGTTCAGCTATTGTGTTTGGGTCTTGAATCCTTGTTTCAGAGAGACAATATAAATCAATAGGAAGCTAATCCAGCATGCAAGAGCAGTCTGTCGTCCGGCTCATTTCATAATGTGAAAGCTAAATGCTGCCAGATGAAATGAACACCCAGGTTTGAAGAATGATTTTGAAGAGTTTGCAGCCCTACTGGCCGAGTCGAACGTAGATGCTGAAGCACCTAAGGGGTCTGTTAGTCCTTAAGAAAGGGTCTACGTATATGTATCTGGCAACTGGGCGAGCGGGAAGGACAAATGTATGAAGAAGAACGAAGGGATGCGTCAGCAGTAGCCTGCTATCGCTCGCCTGCCTTACTGTTAATGTGCCATTCGGAGCTCCGCTTATTGACCAACCTGGTAAGAGAGTCTCTGTAAATAATACATGTGCACTCTAGAGTATATCATAGTAAGTTATGGGGGAACCCAAACCGTCACACTGTGATAAGCTCCAGCGTCTTCCTGACGGAAGTCCTTGGTAAGTTTTCAAGGGGTTAACTAGACTGTTTTACTTCAGTATTCCCGAGAAAAATCGAAAACCGTGACCAGAGCCATGTTTTGATATTCCAAAATGAGCAAAAATCTTGCACTGATGTTCACTAATAGCTTCTGTTCATCAAAAGGTTACACTGAGTCGAGGGGTGGTTTTCAATTAGTTACCTTCTGGTAACAGATTGTGAGCACTTGTGTTGAAGTTTTGTGCTGGCTAGAAAAATGAAGCTACCATCAATTGTCTGTGCCGTAAGCACCAACCCTTAATCGGCCGTCAGGAACGGCTTCCTCCGTACTTGGTTAGCTAACCTGGGCATTCATATCACTTGCCACAATCACGATATCTGTACCTCTCGCTGGAAGAAACAACTGTGATAAACCGAAATAGAAGCTGTCTTTCTAAGCCTCATAGCTCCCGGATTGTATGCCAACACATCAAATGAACACCACCTGTCGAATCCAGACACACTGACCAAAAGTGCGCCTTCCAAACCGAAGGCGCAAAGGCAACTATTTACTGTACTCCAGTCCAGTAAAACGCATTCAGCAGTGAGGCTAAGGACAACACCCATATGGTAGACACCACAACTATTTGCATCAGGATCACCAGATATGGGGACAATAAAATGCGAGAAGTTTGAGTTCACCCTGATTTGGGGTCTATTATGCACGTTTCGGAGACAGCATGCGACCGAAACAGAACAAAGTCTAGCAACAAATACCTGCTACCTAATCGACACAGCACGGACGCTGAAAGCCGTCACGTGGAACTTAATAACTTAACTCACTAACTTAATAAAATCTTATTTTGGCTTGTTGCACCGGGAGTAAGCTTTGATGCAGGGTAACGGCTAATTTATTGACATCTGAATGATAACAATAAATGAGCTGTTAATTACAGTTTGGTGAAGACTATACTGATTATGCTTATTTCTTTTGCAAAGTTCTAAGGTGGCGCCTCTCCATTAGGAGTTCCGAAATATGCGCACTGTATCTGCGAAAACAACGCGATGAACTTTTGACTCTTGTGTAAATGTGAGATTTCCCGTGTTGTTGGTATTTCACTCCCCTTCAACCATTTCAACCATTTCACAATTATTAAGTTGTTTATCACCATCAATAAAGTGTAAAATAAAAACTCCGTCAAAACAAAATGAACTCATTATGGCTCCTGTTTATGCAGGCGGTGAAATAACTGAAAACGGCTAGAATAATCCAGCTGTTTTCTAAACGACATTGCTCTGTTAGCTGTGAAGCCTAGAGTTGAACCGCAACTGGGCTGGCAACTAAGCGTGCAAGCGGGGTAGTGAGGACAAAATTATCGATAATTCTGATTACTCATGAGTAACCAAGTTTTGTAAGTGAATCGAGTGCGAACTCTGAAGTCAGTCAAGATTTCCCGAGCAGTTTACTCACTCGAACTGGCAACCCTGATACTCCGTGCGAAATTTTTCAGATGACCAACGGTTCTGTGGAGCTAGGTAATAACCCAGTACGCAGGGCTGCCAAACCTTCCCACATGGTCCCCGTGTGTGTTTCTCACGTGTACATGCTTGGCAATACTACACATCGACTCCGTCAACTCTTCAATCATGGACCTTGCCCACTGGCCTCTAAGATAATACAGATCCACGAGTAGAGCCCTCACACCCAGAGGCAAAAAACCAGATAGTCAGAGTTCACACGCAGTTAGACTAGAGAGGTGTCTGCGGTACCATCGTGTCCAATATATATCGGTCATCACCATCACCTATCAAGGCTTGACCATTGGGAACTCATTTAGTGGAAACAATTCAGGGATATTGATGAAAAATATTGAATGGATAGTATATAATTGAAGTGAACAGAGTTGACATTGAAAAGTCTGTCATGACATGAAGAAGTTTATGGAGACCTTGTACGGCATGTTAGAGCTGGTGGCAAGGCATAATCGTGAATTAGGGGTGAACTGGATGAACAGCATACAGAACCGATAAAGCACTTATAATTAGCATGTAGCCTTGTGTGTGATGTTGGGGATTTTTGTGCATCTCTCTTTCATAAATAATCAGTAATATATCTCCTGTTGGGGAATGGTAATTTCTCACTTAGCATATGCTATTAATCGGGGTTTCAGAGTCAAATGTGCCGTTATCGAACCAAGTTTCTGTAGTGGCAATGATGTCCAAAGGCGAGAAAACAGCCCCGGCAGTGAATTCCGAACGTTCGCCTCCTTCACATACGTAGTCGTACAGGTGTACAGTTAGTACTTTCTGTGTAGTTATTGTGAGTACTTATCGACCGCAGTCAGGTCAGTGGCCTTGTTTGTTGAATCGTTAAATTCTGGGTCCGAATTTCGATCAGCGTTGGAAGTCCCAGGCTGGATAATCAGTCGTTGTGTTATCTCATTATCAATGTTGGCCTCAACGACACTTCTGTCGTATGGGGCAAAAAGATCTCGGAGAACTTGTCTTTCGTGTATGCACCATGTCCCGGTAGACTCGTTCATCATAGATGATGCCTAAACGGTGGACCTCGACATACGTAGTTGGGTTCGGCTTCAGCCAGGACATATTATTGGTATTGAATCTAACTTGACCCCCCATTCATTTGCTTATACCGTCCATGCACTTTTGATTTTCACTTGTTCTGCTCATCCGTACCAGCCATTCGTCATGCCGCAAAGGTCGTCCCGTCTGACAGTGGTATACTGTCGTGTGTGTGTGTGTGTAAATGTGCACAGCTGACCTTTTTACTTTCCTATGCGTGCTCGCGCCCCGTTTGCTAAGACTGCCCTTACTTGTTCTGTAAAGTTTACCGTCCAATCACAATACAAAGGACTGTCCTCGGAAGGGACGACCGCACCCCACGCTATTGAACGAACATTCCCCTCGCCGATGTTTGGTGCACGAGCGTTGACACTGTACTGTGCCGGTCGGTGACAGACCTGTGCACTTGTTGACGGCACGACGGTGGACAACTGAGGTTTATCGAAAAAATTTGGTTACGCTTGTGTAAATAATGCGGTGGACTTTCGATCCCAAGTGTTCCTTTCTGATATTCGGGATCGTTAAACCTACGTGTGACTGGTATCTGGAACCACAGCAATTGACCAATCATTTCAGAAATATATCTCCACCTCTGTATAGTCTCTGTGTTTCGCTTCATCAGCTTCATTGGAATCTGGCAAGCCGCGTATTAAGACAACTTTTGACTCACTGCTCCCTCGGACGCATTCGGAGTGCGACGACGAAATTGCCTTGTCCCCGGAAAAGCAAACAACACTTATTGAGGACCCCGGTGGTCGTATGAAATTTTTAGCCAAGAGGACACTTTCCATATCTTTAACAAATTACGTAGCACCAGGAAACGAACGTGGTTGGTCTTGTATTGGAGGCTAAGCATGACGAGATAACCATTTTAGGACGACCGGAGTTGTATTGGCAACTCCATTACAGTTGGTGGTGTCATATTTCCAATGTTATTTTGAAGAAATTGAGGAGAATTCCGAGAAGCCGATGCAGATGAACTTGAGATGGTTGTAAGCTGCACTGGGTCTGGTGCGTCTAACCCGGGGTGGTGGGACAGGGGCTAGAATAGTGTAATTCATGTTCATATAACCCGGTATGGTGCGATGAGCAGCAACTGGTTGGCGAAGGGCAAATACTGATACAAGATTGTGTATTATTGATGAAGCATGCGAGTAGCGTCTGGTCTGGTATCCAAGCTTGGCCCCCGCATCTGATGGAAGGCGAAGGTTACTACGGAAGTTATGGAACCGTTTAAAAGTGTTCTTTTATTCTCGTTTACTATTCAAAGAAAGTCTAGAGTAGGCTTAAGAATGTTCACTTTTAAAAACTCTGTGGAGATGAAATGCTCAATTTCGTGTTTAGTAGTAGATAACCGGTTACTTAGTGTTTGCTGGACGCGAGGTATCATAGGCATTCGAGTCGTTGGCGTTCCTGGTCTTGATGGGACTTCAGGAGGCAGAACCTGAAACGTCCGGGAGCACTTCTGTAGGCTGAGCCTGGGTGAATCTGACAAGGTGTCATAGGACCCTAACGATTCGAAGGTCGTAATACACATGGTACATCACGTCTGGAGGCGGATGATGGTCGTCGAATATCACGGGATGACACACACAAGGTGCACGAAAACATAAGACTTATTTCGGCAGAGCCCCTACTGGTAAGGGATGAGAAGTGAGGTAGTGGATTACGTGGTGGCTTGTAAGCGATGCCAATTGATAAAATGGGATACGACAGGGGCACTCCGACCTCTGGAACTATCCTTGCGTCACAGATGGGCGAGTTATGGTCCGTTGACGTCATGGACCCCTTTTCGGTAACGACCAGTGGAAAGCAATATATCGTAATAATGACTGAACACTTGTCGCGGAGGGTCGACGTGGCAATCGTACCAAACCTACGGGTGACGACGATTAGTTGAGTGGTCATGCATCACATCGTTGCCAACCACGGGGTACCAAAAGTGATCCTAACGGATCAGGGGCCGAGCTTTGAGAATGAAGAGTTCAGGAGTTGCTTGCAGTAGCTGGGAATCAAGCGGATAAGGACGGCACCCTACCACCCGAAAACAAACGACCTGCGCGACCGTAAAAACCAAACGATTAAGGAGTGGCTGGCTTTTAGAGGAAGTGACTGGAAGTGAACTTTCCGAAGGTGTGGCTAGCACATCGTGCATCGATCCAGCGAACCACAGGCAAGTCCCCATTCGTACTGATGTACAGTTGACATCCACGTCCTCCAATTGTTCAGGAAATTGGTTTGTGGCCGACAGCTCCCCTCCCCCCTCCGTGTATCCGGAGGTGCTAGGACAGAAAAAGAGGAGGCCGTTCATGAAAGGACTAAAGAGAAAACGGCAGGTAGAAAGGCACGATCATTCCCCATATGCGCGAAGGTCAAGTGGAGGATCAGAATCCTGGAAGGACTGGACTGGGGTCGCGGAAGTTGGGCAGTCGGTGGCAGAGTGCGTTTATCGTTACCGAGCGAACGCTTATACAATGCGGACAGTCGAGGATCGAAAAGAGTAAGAGGTGCCCAGCTTCAGAAGTGACATAATACACCCGAAGTGTCGGATAAAGAGGCTACTGGGGCCAACTTAACTGAGGCAAGCGGAACATCGGTGGCATGCGCGCGACCTTTGAGGGGAAAGGTGTGTAACGGTGTGTACTGCTGATGAAGCATGCGAGTGGTCTATTGTCTGTTGTTTAAGTATTTGATGGTGGGGGAGGTCGCTACTGAAATTATGGGACCGCTTGGAGTTGCGTTCGTTCGTTATTGTATTACATTCAAAGAACGTCCAGGAAAGTTCGACAGGACGCTTGAGAATGTTAACTTTTAAAAACTCTGTGTAGATGGGATGTTCACCCCCGTGTTTGGTGGCTTATAACCGCAAAATGCGTGTTTCTCGAGATCTTGACAATCATGGGTCCAAGTAGGGGTGTGACAGGTGCTAGCCCTTTCTTTTGTCGACGTACCAGCCAAACACTGCAAATGATCAAGCAAGTACATCACGGGTGATATAAAACCATGACATGGTGTGATATTCCATCGCAGAATAGTGCAGCACAAAACGACTGGTACCACGTGACACAGATGCAGCACGCAATGCTGATTGCGTCGATAGCAATAAAAGCATCCACGCTAGATATGTCTTGTTATCCGCCATGCTTCCATGTGGTGAGTTTCTCTACAGGCCTGGGAAAGTTCGTTTGTCTTTGTCTTTCTTTCGCACAAAATTGGAAGTATTATCATGTCAAAAGTAGGACGCCCGCTACCGACCAAGGGTATGCTAAAAACCGTTGTTTGCGCTGAAAAAAGAACATTTCGGGGGGTTTGCGTGACTACCCAAAGGCCTCACGGGAACTGTATGGCTTGTTGTGGGTGTCATCAGGCCAGTGCACACAAGAGTTTCCTCCGAATCTTACCCTATTTTTCCAGCTACGGTCCATAATCGTCACTTATCAATCCGGCTTAGTGCTGATTCACTTCACCGGTACATTCTTCGGTTGATAGTAATTACGTCATGCTTCTGTCATACAGTCAGTCGTTTTAATGGCACCGTCGCTCTTTGGTGCAACCGGGCTTGTGCAATAGCTGTTTTGTACTTCCTTCTTAAATTGTTATTCCCTCTATCCGTCAACTCCCACGCAAACCATGTTCCTCCCCCACGCAGAAGGCGTGACTCTGTGAGTGTCATCATGACCTGATTTTCAAGTAACAGAGACTCATTTCTGAACGTGATCCACCAGTGCCATACGTCAATCTGTCATCTTATCACAGCAACGGCTGCCAGTCAGCAACTGTCAAAATATATGCTGCGCATTTATGAGACTTCGAAACAAAAGGGCTGGATTAACTATGCAGCCTAACTAGGACATCAACTTCTGACTTCCGACACAGTTTCCGCAGTATCCCAGCTGTTTGTGAGTATTCACAAGTATTCACTCGATGGGTAGTACTCAGGTTAGCTCAGTGGTGGGATAAGTGTGAAATTTCAGTAATGCCGAAAGATCTATTGCTATTCGATAGATGACAGAATGCATATCGGAGTTTACCGGATAGGCTCTAATCAGAAAACAGCTAAATGACCACTTTTAGTAGTTTGGTTGATTGATGGTGAAAAGTAAGGAGGTAAGGAAACGACGAATGAATCCATATGCGATTCGGACGCTACCCACCCAAATGCAATGACGAAAACCAAGACGTTGAGGATACACAAAACGTAAAGCAAATTAGAAACAATACATACCCGGAGTCAAATAATGTGGAGAGGAGTTCATGTTACCTGGAATCGTCAAGTTATTTTTTTTCAGTGAAAAGAAGAAATCTGGGTCATAATCTTGCCACTTAGAGGACCTAACGATATTCCCTGCGGAACCACGAAAAGTCTGCAATTTAACGGTGAGACCGTCAGCAGTAATTTAGGTTAGCACTACAGAAGTTTCGGCTGATCGCTCTTTATGGGACTCAGATGTCAGTCCATTAAATCAGCGCATCCTTCTGACCTTATTTGGCGGGCAGTTGGTGAGGCCTGTAGGTGCTTCAAGGGCAAGATGAGGTCGCATTTGTGCTTTATCAAGGCTTCAACTCAGTGCCTAAATACTGGGTTTGTGAACTAGCCTTGACTTATTCTGGAACTCAGAGTGGTCGCTACCTCGGAAAATTCTTCAACATAATGTGCTGTATAGATGTTACAGTTTTACACAAGATAGGTTTCTATAGGTTAACTCTGCAGCTGATTAGTTTAGGAAGCCAAAGTGTGCCTTGCTGCTATCAAGAGAAGACGAAGGTGCAGTTCGGCTTTGAACTAGCCGAATGTCTTAAACTCAAGATAGAACTTTCCCAGTGTTTTCGAATCTATTGTGAACCTCTGTATTCATAGTCATCCTTCGATGTTAACAGTGGACTATATACATAACACGCCACACAAAAGAGCGCGATATGGCAGACATAATATGTGACTACGAAAAGACGAAAAAGCCCGCCTGACGATCACGTACAACCAAAGTTAACAACCAAGCATGTAGTGGCATAATTTTGCTGTGGGGTTTAGTCGAAAAAACTTGGATCACGTTCCGTTTAGAGAGTAGTATCCGGCTCGTTTCGGCCGCCTCTCACCTGCACCGGAGTGTTCAAGCATTTAGGAGCATGACCATCTGTTTTATACTGCAACGATCGATGGCGAACGTACTCGATTTATATTCGGAGTGACCAATTGCTGAATAACGCATATCTCTCCCATGCCCTGGTGTGGCAGTTTTCCGGGCTGCCTCGGTCGATGAACTGATAGACCAATCAGACCTGAGCTAGTTTGATTATGCGGCAGACAATCGCCTTCCCTTCAGTGCGTACGCCCACGCGCAATGGGTTTGGCAGAGCGGACAACTGTGACAAGCGCACACGCCAATGGGCACACGCTCATGCCTGTGCGCATATCCACACCACGCCTATACCGCCAATCGTTGCCTCGGTTACCGTCCAAGCCTTAGCACGTTCTTTTACGGAACAGTGCTGTCTGGCGTAAGCCGATAGAGCGGGATCAGGTTGAATTCGTTTCAAGCAAGTAACAACGTCGCTTGGTTTTCGTTGCCCACACTATTTGGAATACCATCTGTGCAGTGGATTTAGCCATAACGGCGTTTGGGTGATTCAACTGCCCACGAACACTCATCCAGTTTCAAACCTGGGATTTCACGAACAAAGCTGTAATGGGGTGTACGCTTTCCAAGGAGGAGCGTGAAGCACTGGAGCAAAGCAAGAACATTGACAAGAAACTGAAAGAAGATGGTATGCAAGCTGCCAAAGATGTTAAGCTTTTACTGCTCGGTGAGTAAATATTCTTTGAATCCACCATTTGTCAATACGTCAAAATTCCCAAATGGAGTTGATGACCATCTGATTGTCAGGTCGAAACCCTATCGGAAGCTGAAAACGTCTCTGAACTTGTCGGCCGAATCGGGTATCTGGGCCTATGAATAAACAGTCACTGATAGGACATACACTGTATTGAGAATTCCTTGAGGAGCATGATTACAAACATGGAGAACAAATCCGAGCGAGAGATGTAGAAGGGCGTATAGGAGAATACTAGGAGAATACTAGCTAAAAGGAGGGAAGCGCCCCATTCGAAGGTATGCCACCAGTTGGCTCAGTTGGGCAGAATGACTCTCAACATGTGTAAGAATGTTTGGTATGGAAACACACGGGTAAAGCCCAGAAACCGAAGAAAGGACAAACACTGTTGAATGCTCTTCAAGGCACAGTAAGCGCTAACACAGTAAAGGCACAAATTGTCCGTCATGCTGGGTCAGGTGTGAAAGTCACGCACCACGCATAAGAGCATTGTAAGTACGCAGAAAGCCCGAAATTGCGAGCAAACACAAGTCAATGGCTGTGACTGTCAGGTAGTCCCAGTCCAATAACAACCTTGGCGAATTGATGAAGCTATATCCCTCGATGTGAAATGATCATTGGTTAGTGGAGCAAAGAGTCAGCATCACATTCGACTGCATGTTGGGCCGATATGATAGCGAGGGAACAATCACCAGCACCATGTTTCTCTTTCTTCTCATTCTAGACAGTCACTCCGTGCCCATCCGAGACTATACTTACGTTTGTCAACACCTCAGCTGATGCGCCACTCCCGATACTAGTATACTCTTCTTGGTTTGGCTTGACTTTAGGCGATGTGTCAGTCGTAGGTTCGCGCAAGGCAGAATTCTTTAAAGCAGAATCAATGGTTGAAGCTTAGCTGAACGATAGAGGGAGGTTACACATGTGTACTCAGATGTCCACCTGTCAGCAATATAAAAATGTGTCCTGCAGATCAATTATTTTTCTTGGTGGCTCTCCTTAGAGGTTAGCAGAGTCGATACAAACTCTAGGTTGTGCTAGCCTAAATGATGGGACTGATGAACGTGGGTTCATGTTACGTTATCGTATGTAGTAGTCATGGATGTGTAGTCACTTCAGATGGCTCGGTGGTTAGAGCGCGAATTTGCTGACCGGAAGGTCTGTGGTTCGAACCCGACCTCTGCTTCTCGACTTACTCTGTCTGGGTATGAGCGACCTCGCCTTAGCCCAGCCATCATACTTCCTGGCAGTTATGCACCGAAAAGGAATATTCTATCTCACCCTTGCGAAAGACGTCGAAAACACCCAGATGCAACAGAAATTCGAATACCTTGGTACAGAAGCGTGCTATACGGCTCTTGTTGGTTACCCACCAGCCGACCTACATCCTCGTCGAGGAAGAGGGGAGCACTTTTCATGTAAAGACGTGCTAGACCCTCAAAACGATACGCTAACGGTGTGTTTTTCCAACAACCCATACTCTGGAAAAGCTTTCATTTGTTAGTTTGATCTTTTTAACCGTAGGATAAGCTTTGTTTATCCGGACACCTAGCTGTTTTCATGATCTGATCCTGTTGACTAGACGGGATTGATATAATTTCTTCGGAGGTATTATGTTAGATCATCTGTTCCTAGGATTTGTCGCAGATATTACAAAACATACTACTGTCTCTTCTGTATTACATCCCATTGCTTGTGAACCAATTCCTCGTGGTTACTTGTGAGCTCTGGCTTTCTGGTCAGTATGTCCTGTTTTCTGGTCGGATTTCTACAATACTGCTTTGCAAGCTGCTGCTACTACTATTCCTGCTTAGCGTGAGTTCCGCCGATCCTGAAATAATTTGTTACCTGGATTGTGAGAGATTTGGAAGAGTCGCAGGTTTGCAAACGCTCTTGCTGCATGTGAAATAGAATCGACAAGACGAACAGTGCTATCTACATCGGCACACAAGTGTTTTGGGCTCAAGAGTTCTTTCAAAGGCGTCCTCAGTTGCCCACTATGCATTGTGGTCGCGGCTGGAAACATCGAGGCACAAAAAAGCCATGGAGAGATAAAAATACATAAACATCACTCGTTCCCTCTCGGGCGGTCACTATAACAAGTGCATACATTCAATCAACAGATCCCCATTTCTTGTCGGTTGGATAAGTTTGACTGGAGTGCCCCAGCATCCTCTGTTTTCACAAGCTTGATGTATGCTAGTTACTTACATGCTTACATGCCCATATATCCCTGAAAAAGTGCAGCTCTTTGAGGGCCTTATTAGTATCCGCTGTGCTGACAACATCCACCGGGTGAGCAACTCTCCGCAGTTTTGTGGTATTAGATATGAACAGGACTCACTGATACGGATTTAGATAAGCGAGATCTGCTCACCTGGAGAGGTTATCAATCTTCCATTGCTGTGGGTACTTTGAACTAATTACTGATACGGAAGCATGATAAGTTCGGTCAGCGAACCAGGTATACGTATCCGTGACTGCGGGACTTTGTAAGCGTCTTATCATAATGGGCTATTCCACCCAATCACAATCTGCTGATCTCGACTTAGTCTTTGACCTCGAATGGAGTCGAAGCCCGTTTGGGGCGAATCGATCAGGAACTGATTTCTGCTTGAATTCTACTCAGGCAGCTGACCAAGCTGCTACTGGTGAAACTCCACACCTGAACTTATTGAAACTTTCGAAACCACAAGCGACTGAAGTTCAACATCCGAGGGTCGGCACACACACTCGTAAAAACCCGTATCACTTTCACTTCAAATCACATTCCATCTTATCTCTTCTCTGACTTTAGTTCATGTAAATGCGGTTGTTCGCTTGGCTGGCTGGACAACTATGGTTTGTCATCGAGGTAGATTTCGCACCCTTTCAGATGGAGGTTATTTGTGTAGCTAACTGCGTTATCATGGTGAGTTCAACTCTGGTGCTGAATAAAGCTTTGATCAACAGTCGAGGATGATACAATACGGATGTGATAGTGAATACAGCAATGATGTCCTGGCTCATTATACATTAATACTGGTGGTCCCGTAAGCTAAAAATCGGTCACTACTCATCTAGTTGGTTAGAATGGGGTTTTGGTAGGCGCTGATGAGAACATAACGGTTAACTCAAACTAGCACCACCTATCCAAAGGTATATGTGAAGGAGCTATGAAGAGGGCCTCAATTTAAATGACCTGTTTGGTTTCAAGAGGAAATTTTTGTACGGGCTTCCTAGTGTGAGTGGTTTAAGCTTTTGTTGACGGATTCTAGTAAGCATGCATTCCACCACCTTCGTTAGTTTCCTCTTTAGGTAACTCAGCAAGGGAATTCCCACAGGGGAACAGTTCTGTGGGTTTGGATTAAAATGGGACTCGCCACTTTTGAAGACACCAACTGTTGGCATATTGATTGTGGGTCAAATTCATATGATATTAGGCTCGCCTGAAGTTCTTTTTTTGACTCTTTCGTCTAGTAAGCATTTGAATTTATCTAATGTTGACGACAGATGTGCAGTTAGGAAGCCCGTTGGAAGCGCAAGGCATTTTCCCACTCTGTTAAAGTCCTACACCCGAAACATGTTGCGGAAATAGCCGGTTGCATTTCGTGTGTGTACAACACTGTTCTTATGCGTTCCCATGCCAAATTTATCTCGGATTCCACAAGGTGTGAGAATGAGATTCGGATCGTTTTTGGATCCTAATATGACAACATTCGTGAAATCCGCCCGTCAGCGAACTGAAGAACTTGTGCCAGTTCCTTGATTGTCGTCGTTCCACCGCCATACGCAGGACAAGTTTGAAGAGGACTTAACACAGATTAGGAGAGGGACACCTAATGAACAGTCTGCCAGGTGAAAAGTCGTAAAATATCAGATCTGGCATGAGGAGAATCATGAACCGATAGTTTGACAGTTTAGCTTGTCGCGCAGACGACACTGTGACCAGTTGTTTTTAACCTGATGTTTTGTAAGTCAGTTTCCGCTCGGACAAATAGGCGGACTAATCACGTGGTGTCGAAGCCGTTTATATTAGGGTCGGTTTAGGTTCTCCTTATTTACTCTGTTCACTATTCCACCCCATTGCACATTTCCACATCCATCGTTCTGTTGTTTATGAGGTCATCATGTGGGACAAACTAGACGTTGCGACGCCGGTCTGCTTGCTTTAACTTGGAAGGCGGGAAGAACTCATTATTGGATGGTACGATTCAATATGCGAATCACTACCATTTGTAAGGTGGCTGAAGGACTCGGACAGTCCACTACCGCTTTTACCTTTCGGGGGGCTCGTAAAGTAGGCTTGGTTCTCGAATTTTGATCGAGCTTTTTTCTCTACGTTAGCATGAAATTGCTCATATTCTGTTTTCACCCTTCGTTTGAAAATTGACTCGGTGTTGACGTAAGACTCAGTGGAAATTCAAGTGAGTCTCTCACTTAGAACTAGATTAAAGGGCGCAGAGAGCATCATTAGGTGAGCGGTGTTTTTGTGTGAAAAACGGGGTTTTAACTGAAATAAACTGCAATTGAGTTTTTACTTCGAAGAAGCTTTCAAAGCCGTGGTCTTTGAGTAGTTGGCATATGTCCTGGAATAATTCCTCCGAAGTGCAAACACAAATAGGGACATTAAATATGGTGACAAATCTGGGAGTACGAGAAAATTCTCTATGAACCACAGAATAGTTATTTTGACGAAAACTACCTTGCGGTAAATCCTGCTTTTAGCAGTCACAATGGTGATCCCATTGTTACCTCAACGGATGGCACTATTGCCATATAAGAATACGTAAGAAATTTAAGACAGGATTAGCCCTCCTAGAAATGTGTACGAAGTTCGGCTCGACGCATTTTACTTGGGCGTATGCTTTATCAATGCCACCTACAATTGTGTGCTGGCTCGAATGGGAGGGGCGATATCCATAGTGTTCAAATTCTTCTTGACAGTTTTAGGGAATGTCCATACATTTCTAACCACTCAAGACTGCTTCATG